AGCTCACTACACAGCTGATTAGGTGGCAGGAATATCCATTAATAACATAGGCCAATCAAGGTGAGTTCAATTGTTCCCCCTTTCTAGGTAGCATATGCCCCTTAATAAGGGGGAATAGTCAAATTTGCCTTGATTGGCCCATATCACCAATAAATATTCTACCATGTGGCTAGTGGTGCAGTGAGCTCTTCCAAGAACATGAAAGCATGATGTTAGTGGAAGTACTGGTGATCAAGATAGAGATCTAAGGACCTAATGGGCTCCTTAGTCACATTGGATATCTCACCTCTTGGTTACATCCTTTATCTAGATCTCTGTAGTTGGTCACTCTCTACATGGCAAAACATTAGAATATGTAATATTTTACTACTCTTTGATACCAAGGAATGGGGAACAATTAAATTTGCCATGATTGGACCACATCATTGGCAAATATTCTACCATGTGGCTAGTTGTATGGCAAGCTCCTCTAAGAATGTGGATGCACGAAGTCAATAGAAGTACTAGAGTTTTAGATAGACATCTAAAGATTGAATGAGCCCCTCAGTCAAGTGCACACGTAATTCTCAGCCACAAGTTTCCCCACACAAGGATTTAAAGAACCCCCAAGATTTAATTGGGTTTATAGCTATCCTCCGTCTGCTTTGATCTAGTAAAGTCTCTGCTAGAACTAATGCCAAGCTAAGAAATGAGCACCACTTTCTTTTTACTGGGAAAAAATTCTAGTGAACAATGAGGTGTTATGTTATGTAGATTCCACTGTATAGCACCCAAGTGAGAGAGAATCTAATGAGCTGCAAGAGAAATAAACAAGGATTACTTCATGAAATTGCTCAAGGATGCCCTATTGCTAGTGGCCAACTATGAGCTACAATCAAAGTTCTCTAAAACATTCCAAAACTCACTAAAAATTGAGTGCAATCTCAATCATACTCACAATTTCCTCATTGCTCATTAAAATCACTCTAATAACATTTTTAAATACTTCAGAAAAGGGGTGAAGCCCAACTTAACCCTCCTCCTTTATATAATTAGCTCTCTTGCCGATTTCTTCCAAATTTTTACTATCCTTTACAATTCTTAGGGAATATCCATATATCTCTATGTCACACCACGCCAATCAAAACATGACTGTTTCCAATGTTTTGATAGCACAAACTCTTCCCATTCTCTAAAAAATAGTGACAATACATTCTTCCTCTCTAAGCAATTGAAGAGCTCTTTCATAAGATCCTCCGATACTTGATACTTGTTGACAAGCTCATCCAAATGCAACAATATCTGATGTATCTTGGCACCATCTTCATGCTGCTTGAGGATCCCACACTTGTTAGAAGTAGTCAGGAGGTTGGTAGACTGTTTTAATAAATAGAAATAACCAAGAAAAAAAACTTAGTGGGGGGACTTCATCTTTTTTGGGAAAAAGTTAGAAAGTAAAATGGTCTAAAGATTATAAATATTCAAATGTTTATAACCACAGAATCATAACATTCAATCTAAGCCATGTAGTTATGTATCATTAGAGAAAATTTATGAAGTACAAAAAATCTCAAATAAGGAATATTTAAGAATATACTAGGATAATCTATAGATATTTATAGGTTTTCAAAACCAAACCAGGATTTGAAATGCTCATTGATGACACTTATTGCAATTGCAATCACACAATAGCAGGATTACTTCAATTGCCTCTGGCACTACTCCCATTCTTCCTTGATACTCTACTCTTGAAAGAACATTTATCATCTTGCAAATAAAAGAAACACTTAAATATAATTCAATATGCTGTTTTAGAAACGTTTTCTTGAGCATTTGTAAGTTGATATTGATGTTATCATACTTGAGATCCACTTGCACAATGAATCAAAAGTAACCAGCCTATTAAATTTCTTATTCTATTTATAATTGCTAATATGCAGTGTTGCTATCCAAAGCAAAGCAAAGCAAATTCTTAATCTTGGAGACATGATTTTCTTCTCCTAATCAATTCTACTATGTTTAAGTTAAATATAAAGTGAAGTATACTCTCTTCAGCTGAAGATGTTTGCATTTAGAACATATTTAGATATCTGTATGCTATTTTGATAGTTTTGCACTTGAAGTATGATACAATTTGGATTGCTTTATTGGCGTCTTCACTTGTATTTGAACTGATCCTTTGCTGCATTGAGATTAAATAGGATCCACCAAGTGGCTGTTACTCTGACAAGGTCGTGCCTTGTTTGTACAAGTTTGGAAGCTTGCGTGATGCTTGTAGAGTTCTCGACCAGATGGTGGCAAGAGGATCTTGGTTATGGCAAAAATGGAGACAAGAGATCATGGACTTTCCTGGTGGCCGTGATCACATGGGCCGCCAGAGAAGAGAGCAAGGTGCTCGGAAAACTGGCTGTCCGAGAAGATACCCAAAAGGAAGCAGGCCTTGGCAAGGCTGTTCACTCGCAAGCTGCCAAGTCCGGGTGTGAGTTCCATGTCTTCGTGGCCAGCGACTGACTTGTATGCAAATTGTGGGAGAGGATGCTGCAAACCCGCTCATCATGGAACACACTAATAGCGGATCCAAACCTCCAATGGCCATGGCTCTTTCTCAACAAATGACGAGAATCACTACTGCTCTCTGGAATTCCCGCAATCTCACGCCCCAGCTAGTGGCAACGAGGAAGACTGCCATAGAGAGGGGGTGAGAAAAGGAGATAAGAATGGGCAGAGGAAGAGAAAAGAGGAGAGTGTTTACGATCTTGACACTGACTTGGTGGCGAAAAGGCGCAACTCAAGGAGATCTTGGTGAAAACCAGGAGGAGGGCAGTGAAGAGCGATTGTGGTGTGGTGTTGCCGCTGGCATGAAGGATGGTTAACTCATAGTTGCTCTAAAAAACATATTTCAACTTTCTTTGAAATTAATGATGTTTATCACTAAATAAATATTATATAAATCAATATTATTGGTTTATTTTTCAAAAGTTTAATTGATTTTAATTTAAAAATTAAAATTTAAGTTAATGATAAATTAAAAAGCCAAAGAAATTATTTATTCTTTTATTATATGATATAATGTGAATATTAGATTTTATAAATTTATATTGAATTTAAATTTCAAAACCTTAACTACGAAAGAAGGTGATATAAGTGAGTATAGTTATATATGATTTTTGAATTTTTCTTATTTGTATAACAATTTAAATTGCAAAAGTATACTAATATTTTAAAAACTTTATCATAATTAAAAATATGACATATAAGATGTAGGATTGTTTTGGCAAAAGTTGATATTCATAATGTATCATTTTAAATATGATTAATTTATAATTGTTTTTTGTGTCTTATGTCTAGGGGCAATAAGTATTCGATTATGATATTTAAATATAAATTAAAATTAATATATATCTTTGTCAGTCGGATTGATTTTATCCACTTACTATAGTTTGCGAAAAGAATTAAAAAAAAAAGTAGTGGGATAAAGTTTTTTAATGATTTTATAGTTTTTAAAATAAATTTTAATAAAATTTTTTTGACACATTTATTCTTATTGCAAAACTATTATTATTATTAATGATTAATTTGACATTTTTAGAAGTATTTCAATACTTTGTATATTTTTAAAAAATTTAAAAATTATTTGTATATTTAAATTAAATAAATTTCTAGATGATTTAAAAATTAAATTTCTCACACTAGAAAATTATAAGCATTTATGGCACTCAAAGAGCTTGTTTCAAGAAAAAAATTCACTTTTTTGGTGGCATCCAAAGTTGGGATGCCATCAAAGAGGAGCAGCTTCCAACAATCTATCTTCCTCTCCCTCCTGGATGACCTAGCCCTGTTGATCTCTTTGGGAAAGACAAAGTTGGCCCATTCTCAACAGGTGCTATGGATGATTGATCAGGCTTCTTGTAGGTACTGGCAGCTGCCATGCATCTGGATCAAAGAATTCCTTGCCCTGGAGTAGTGATCTAGCCGGAGCTGAGATCCAAGTTCCTGGACGAATGTAGGCCAGTTGTCATTTATGGACGGTTTTAGGCTTTTAGCGAGCGAGTAAAATTCATTGACTTTTCATTGAGTGGCTGTGAGCTCAAAAGTGATCAATCCACACCTTACAGAGGAAATGCTAGTGAGCAACACGTGCGAACTCACAGACACAAGTAGAGGTATCAGCAGTGCTTTGTTTTCTTCTTTTCTTCACTGGGTTTTGGGGGATTGGGATTTGTAGAATGGGGAGTTTGCATCCAAGTTGTCCATGGTCATGCCATAATGCTTGTTCAGGTCGTGGAACGTGGCGCGCGCCTCCTCCGGGGACACCTCCGCCATCGACGCCGCCACCCCAAATGCGACACTGGGCGTGCTTGCTTGCGTCGCTGGAGCTCCTTGATCGCCGGACGAACCTCCTCCTCCGCCAAACAAGCCCCCGGACGAACCTCCTCTTCCGCCAACCAAGCCCCCGGACGACAGACCTCCTCCTTCGCCAAAGAAGTCCCGCGCCGACTGACCGAAAGCCTGCCAGACTCCGCTCCCGGACGACTGACCGAAGGGGTGCCCGAAAGTAGGCGGTGGTAAGGGCGATGGTGGAGGCCCAAATCTTGCAGGAAAGGCCGGTTTCTTGCTCTTGAGATGCGCCGCCACCTTCTCGAGCAGCGCATCCGGATTGGAGCCGCTGTTCATTCCCAGCACCAGCGCCAGCAGCTCCCCAACATCCACCTCCATCTCCCGGTCCATCATCAGCCCCTTGATCTCGCCCAGGAGCCTGTGATCCTCCACGCCCAAGTGGAGCTTCACTATCCTCTTGAGCATCTGGAAGCCGCTGGTGTCCATGGCCACGTAGAAATCGATCCGGCCCCGGCAGCCCCGGAAGACGGTGTCCGGCTTAGATTCGTCCGACACGAACACAAAGATCCTCTCGTCCGGAGCCCACAGTCCATCGCTCACATCCAAAACATCCGCCATTTTCACCGTCATGGGCGACGGGCTATCGATCCCATGAACACAGACCACTGCCTTCCTCCCGGTTCTCATAAAGATCTCCTTGAGTTGCGCCTGTTCCCCACCAAGCCAGTGTCGAGATCGTAAACATCGTAGCCGAGCTTGTTGGCTATGGCGGCCACGAGCTGGTCCTTGCCAGTCGCTTGGCGGCCATAAACGAGGTAGCTCCTCTTCCACGCCTTCCCAATGCTCCTGTAGTAATCCCGAGCTCCCGCAAACGCCTCCAGATCCTTGACCAGCTCCTGCTTGAGCTCGGCATCCATGGAGCAATCCAGCGTCTCCAAGCTCGCGGGATGATCGAATTCGCAGCTCGCCCAGCTCATCTCGTGCATACCAGGTGGCCTCACGGTGAAAAGGCGGCGGCGCTTGGAGGCGGTGGTGAGGTGAGAAAAGTAGGCCTGGATCACGTCGTTGGAGCAGTGCGGCGGGAACGCCGCCATGACATAGCGCGATTCATCAGTGGCCACGCCCGTGCTCCACTCGAAATCCAGGCCCTGGAACTTGTCACGCACGGGAAAGCCCGGCTGGAGCCCCAAGATGAGGGGCGTCTTGTCGTCGATCAAGCTCGCCCTGAAGAGCGCCGGCTGCTCCGGATTGACTGTGAGAGAGGAGAGGTAGCTGTTTACGTAATTGTAGAGCGCCCCGCCATCGTTCTCGTACACCACCACGGACCTACTACTCGCCATACCTCTCAAGAACCCTAAACTATTCAAGTCAACTGCGCATTAAACATAAAATTTTACATAAGAAACACGTGGCAAATTTGTCCATGTGGCACAACAGCGTGGCACCGGTCAATGACACGTGACAGGATTTAAAGAACAAAGAGATTAGGATTAATTCGATTCTTCCAGTGCACCAAATGTTACAGCCTCTTCATGCGACGACATGCGCCTCCTACAGTCTCCTCCAACAATGGAATTGGATCTCCCTCCAGACAAAATCCACAATCCTCTAAAGCCATGGAGATCTCAACCTGGGCAACAAGGAATTTTCACCTGACAAGAGAAAGAGAGGGATAAACACGCGTACCAAATCTAGCTCGTCGCATCCCAAAGACTCAAAGGTGTCTTCCTGGTGGACAGCTTCTATTCCACACTGCTCCGCCACACTCTTGATAAGCAGGTCTCGGCCATCGTCCGGGAATGGCATGTAGAGCGATCTGGGTCGGCTGGCTTGCAGTGGTTGCATCGATACCACGCGGCTGCTGGCTGACCTGGTCGCGCTCAAGCGCAACTTGGGAAGACTGGCAACCAGAGGCACTGGCGGGAGACGCTGCATTTCGACCCTAATTTACTTTGATCAACTAAACCTCTGGCTTTGACCACGCGTGTCAAAGCCAAAGACAATATCCACGATTCACAACCTGGATTTCTTTCGCGCCTGTTCGATACGGGTGAAAAACTCGAGAAGCTTTGCGGGGAGAAGCGATTTACGAGCTGTACGACATTGCTCCAATCGTGGAGGAGTCCGCAAGGACTTCCGAAAGCACCTCGACTTCGAAGTTGCTTTGAATCAATAGGAGCTGAGAGAAACAAGTGCAAGCACGTAGCTAGTTTAGTTTTGAGCTCTGGAAACATGGAAAATGGAAGGACTCACATCGTGTAGCGAAAGGAAGGTAATGCATCAAAATTGTTTTAGCTCCAGAAAAGAGCAACCGAAAGAAACAAGAGTCCAGTGCTCGGCGGAATCTTAAATGATTGTCCAAAACTTCTTGTCACATTGGGGGATGTTGTATTCTGCTGTGGAACACTGGAACCACAAACGAAAGATTAGACAACCATGTAACGAAATGCAACACTTACATTGTAGGAAATCGACACTGTCCATGACCTGGGAAGCAAAGAGATTACAATTAACACAACAAGAAACTGTGAAGGCGGTTAACTTACTTGGATCCGTGAAAGTAACTGTGGCCACTCCAGCGAAGTCGCAGCTCCCTGGTGCCATCATCGCCTTCTGGTAGTACTTATTGAAGGCATAGCTTGCGTGATCCAAAACCGTGTCCGGGAAGTAGCATTGCTGTCCTGGTTGAAGCTGGCTACAATCGGCCCGACCCTGTCCACAGGCGTAGTCCAGTGCCGCTTGTAAACTGCTGGTGCTCATGCCTTCCTTGGCAATACACCAGGATGGAACTCTGGTACCATTGCCACTCGCTAAGCTCGCCCCAGTCAAGTCGACGGTGTAGACTGGAGTCTGGTCCGGATAAAACAGCCCGTAGTTCTTCTCTGACGTCGCGCCTTGCCGCATGTCCTCGTTGAAGAGCTCGTACATATAGGCATTCATGGCGAGACCGGGTCTGCGAGGAGTTCCAGTGTTGTTGAGGATGTGCCTCACAAAGTTACTCGCATAAGTCGCAGCATTGTCGAGCGAGACCGCCACCTCCGCAGGATCACCTCTCGATGGCCACCCCGTCTCACTCACCACCAGCGGCATGCCTGTGAAGTTGAGAGCCGCCATAGCACTGTACACCCCATCGATGACCGTCTCAAAGAGGTTCGTGTAGAGGAGATTGGTGCTGGAGTCGATCTGTCCCGAGTTGGGACGGAAGAGGGCGAAGTCGATGGACATGGTCTGCTGGTTCTGCGCGTAGATCGCCAGAGGATAGAAGTTGAGCATGAAGTAGGAACTCGAGTCGGCCAGGAAGTCGAGCATCGGCCTCATGACAGTCTCCGCGTAGCTCTGATTGAAAACCGCCGCCGACGGAGGAAACCAGTTCTGGATGACCGCAGTTCCATGCGGTGTGGAGACTTTCACTTGGTCGTCGAGGTTGGCGGCCACGAGAGCAGCATGAATGTACCTCATGGTAGAAACCAGCGAGGCAGCAGCACTGGAGTAATCCGTGAGAACTTGGCTGCCCACAACAATCCCTGTGATGTTGGTACCTGGGAGATAAGTCATGACGTTCTTCTTCACCCAGTCCACCGCCGAGGCATTGGATTTTCCCACGCTGAGGATCTCCTCGTTTGGAATCCCGACGAGCACCTGGATGTTGGATCCGGCGAATGCCTGGAGGAGCCCCGCGTCGGTGTCAAAGATCCGGACGTGGGAGATTTGCTGCCTCTGCAGGAAATCCACCACTTGCTGTGGAGTGGGCAAATTGTCGCCATCGGTGCCGTAGTTCACACCCACGAATGCTGCCAAAGCACGGAAAGATTGTTCACAGCTTTTAGGGCGAGCGAGAGGAAAACAGAGCCTACCCGAGCAGGAACTAGCCAAGAACACGATCAAGAAGCCGACGATCATCTCCAGCTTCTCCGATACCGCGGCGTCGTCATTGGAATCGCGTCATCGAGGAGGAGAGTCGCCTGGAATCACATGGAAAATGTGAAGAACAGCTCGAGAATCGAAAATACCTGATCTGATGAGGACGAAAACACGATCCCAGGGGCGCTACGCCGCCAAGGATTCCTCGCGCACCTAGAACATTTGAATCGATCGACTCTGACGAGTCCCTTGCAACAACGCTAGAGGCCTCCTTTAGGGCTGTGGGCTAAAAAATACCTCCAATCCAAGGAAAACAATAGGAATGTGGGCTACCTGCGAGTGACGTGCTACCGCCGGGTGGTGGAAGATTCGGTCATCTGAACAAAGATTCGAGTAGATCTCACCGTTAGTTGCCTTCCCATCCAACGGCCATGAGGGCAACGAGGATTCAAAATAAAGCGCGGCATGTACGAATGCCTAGAGTAGCTGCTATAGCAATGATTTCTCCCTCACTATCACCACGATGGAAAACATGACACGTGACAAACCACCTGGGAAACTCTAAATGAAATTGATTCTATTTCTAATTACGGTTATTAGCTATTTAAAATTGTCTTTTAGCCTTAGTGTTCGAAAAAATCAAATTAAATAAATAAAATAAATCTCTGTAACAAATATTCTATTAATATATTTAAACACTAATAACTATAAAGAATTTATGTATATTAAGTAAGATGTCCTGCAAAATAAATAAATAAATTTCAATTTCAATTTTATCCAGGGTACCCATCTTTATCACTTTTACAAGCTCAATAAAAAATAGTGAAACAAATGAATGTAAATAAAATATTTCATCAACACAAAAATAAAGAAAACACAAAACAAAAAACATACCAGCTATCTAGGGTAAATTACATTAAATTTTACTTGAGAATTTCAGTGTATACTATGTTAATTATATAGAAGCATTTATCAAATGAAATTAGATTGTCTTCATTAAAAGGTTGGAAGTATTTGTACATGAAGTTATTTAACTGATATATACCTTGGAAAGAAAAATATAAAGTTGGTTATATTTGAAGAGAGATATGACTATTCTAATATTTTATCACTATTGCCAATTTTGATAAGCCATTTTATAAAATAAATATGATATTTTCATAAACACATATTTTATATTAGTGAAAGTGTTTTAAAAATAACTACAGTTAATTATTTTAATAAAGCTTGAATGATAGAGCTTTTATAGTCATGAGTCACAATAAAAATAATTTGATAAAAGAAATATCTAGAATTATATTTGAGATATTTTAAACATTTCAAAAACTTTACTATAATTAAAAAAATTACATATGAAATATATATTATTTTTAATCTATATTTAAATAAAATTCATGGAAATCTTAGGGTTAATATGTACTATTAGTTCGATCATTTTACAATGATTATGACATATCATTTTTGGGATGATGTTCAATGTTTGTATAAGTTTCCTACATATTTCCAAAGGACAGTGCTACAATTGTATAATGGTTTAAGCATAATCACTTGTGTGGATTGAAGCACTCTCCCATATGTTTTTAAATGCACATTTGGACATGTTAATAATTATGATGATGCCTTTTAACAATTACATCATCTTTATCAAGGGTTATCTAAAACAGTGATGTAATTTAGCATTCATTTGTAAAACCTCTTGCTTCTTGCAGAGCTAAATATATTAAAGCAAATTAAATTAGAAATGTTGTGATCAGCATTTTATCAAAATTTTATAGAACTTGTGTATATATTTGTTCTAACCACCTTTGACAATACTCTTTTCTTAGCACAATATTATGAAATATTGCTTCTTTCACTTCTCACTGCACATTTTTTAACTCCACTTCCTATGAGAAATGGTCCTATTCCAATTGAGGTTGATGTTACTGCCTGACTTCAAGGATAAGAGCGTGGACATAATCATGGCCATAATGTCCGCTGTTGGGCATGTGATAAAGTTAGTCATACTTCAATATTGTCAATGTTTTTCGAATTGGCAACCTCTATTTCCTAGGTGGAGACCTTAGTATTAACAATGTTCTATTGGTGGTACTACAATGGAAAGGCTTGACACTGAGATGCTTATAAGAAATGAGAGTCATATGAGTCACATTTGTACAAATAAATCAATGACTCTTTCATTTTTCTTTCGGGAGTATCATTAAGGGGTTTACTCAACATCAGTTCATTTAGTGTTTACTTTCCAAGCTCGTTTTTATAACAACATATCTTCTATTATTCTATCCATGTAGGTTAATATAGGCTTGAATTTATCTTCTATTACTCAGCATGTTACCACACGTTACCATCTATATTTACATTGTGCGGCAGAGCTAGTTTTCATTCTTTATTGCAATAGTAATACACACTTATGTCCATGGGATGAAGCGGACCTATTTATACATGTGGGCAATCTTGAGTTTAAGTTGTAGTCATTGCAGGTGATGCCAAATCAAGCTTTTGACTTCATCTTTGGTATAGATTGGTTGCGGTGCAATCATGCCAAGTGTGACTTTGAAACTTCTCCTATTTTTTTCATACTTTCTTATATTTTTTTAATTCCTCTCACTTTTGTTCCTTTTTGTTTCTTTGCTTCTACCCTTGATTCTATCACTTTTGTCTCCTCATTACTTCCTCCTATATTTCTGTTTTATTCCTCTATTCCCTCTTTAGACCCCTTTGACAATTTTTGTGTTGTAATGGTTCACCAATTTGACTTGTTATCTAGGGCCAAGAGTCATCTTATTCTAACTGAGAATGTTTGTCCAATCAAGATTTCTATTCGTCGTCGATCACCAAAAGAGATCAAAATTTTACGTGCAAATATCAAAGAGATATTGGAAAAATGTGTTATTTGAAAGTCATAAAGTCCTTAGGCATATGAACCTTAACTTGTGACGAAGTTTAATGGGAGTATTTGTTTCTGCATTAATTATCGTCCGTTAAACGAAGTGACAATTCTAGATGTGTACCTTCTTCCTCATATTACTGATCTTGTAGATCGTCTGAGGAGAAACTGTTAATTCACTAAGTTAAATCATACTTTTGGGTATTAGCAAATCCCCATGTCTAAGGAAGATATTCCCAAGACTGTTTTTTATACATCATTTGGTTTGTATGAGTTTTTGGTGATACTGTTTGGTTTAAACAATACTTTAGTGACTTTTCAGTAGATGATGGACAAAGTTTTCTACAGTATGCCAAAGGTGATTGCTGACTTTATCGATAGATGTCTTAATCCACTTGATGTATTCCCAATTGAAATATTAAAATATAAAATGCCTTAACAATAAATGTGAGACCATTATTTGAGAGTATTAGGAATGCTAGAACACTATTCAATTGAGTAGGAAGTATCTAACAACAATTGCAAATACACTAGCAAAAGTGCTGATTTCCACCCAATGAGTGAAATAGTCAGAAGCAATAATGAAATACTTATTGCTAGTAGTCAACCATAAAGGCCCCATCATATTAAACGCCACTAACTCAAACAGATAGAAAATTGCAATTGACTCTAATTGTCCTTTCACAACATGAGGGAGAGTATTATATGAGCTTGGCACCAAACATAACTATACACATACTGGATAATATCACATTGCATCTTTAGTGAATAGAAAAACTTTTGCAACTTCTCAATCATATGATAATGTTTCATATACCCACTTAAAATAAGAGAATCATAATAGGTATAGAGAGAGCGTGGAATAAAGATTGAAGGTACCATCAGCCATAAATGATCATTAAAATCCTTCCTTATAAAATAAAGGTCTTCTTTAAAGTGATTTTGAAAATGTAACTACCAAAATAACAAGTCATTAACAAGTGATGTAAAATTTTCAAACCCATCAAAAAGCCTTTGGATTTATAAATTCACCTTTTAAGTTTCATAAACCTTATCAAGAGAAGGTAAATCTTGCTCTGCACCTTATGAACACTAAACATCAAGTATAATAATTGTTAACAATATAGAATCTTTGTTTAGAAAATCCATAAATGCTAAAATAATAGAATCGTGAAAAATATGAGAAAAGAGCGAGGAAGGAAGAAGAGCTCAAGAATTCTATAGCCATAGAATGCCCCGAACAATGAACAACCTTGAAATCATATAACCCACCAAATAGCATAACCAATTAAATTCTTTCACTTTAACAATAAAGTAGCTGTAACATTATCACCTTTTAGTAATGTCTAAGAACCATGTTTTTGCAAATATGACTTTAAGTATCAAAAGATACTTGTCAACTAACCGTTACAAACACTCTCTCCTTACTATCATAACAATAGGAGGTTGGTACAGTTAGTTCTTTTTATAGTTTTCACTTGAGCTAGTTGAGAAACTAGTCAATGCATATGTACTTAAATCGGATAAACATAAAGTAGAAACCTTTATGTGTTTCTTGCTGAGTATACTCAATCTGGTTTGAGAAACTCATATCATTAGCTTACCCCCATGATATTGAGTCTAGTCCCTCAATATTGTAACTTACTTTATTTGCCAAACACTTTGCTATATGTGTTAGTCCCATTTTAGTTTCATATGCTATTTATGGTAAGTGTTTAGATCCACTCAAGAGGCATATCTATGGAATATAGAAAGTGTTCTGAACTCTATAATGTTATTTTTGCACCCTAATTTGCAATCTAACACTATTCTATATTTAGTAAGTTTCACATTTATTCCAAAGATTAACTCTTAGGAGTTGCTAATTCTTCAATCTTTGGTTTTCTTAAAAAATTTGACTCTATATATAACACTTCATCATGCTGATCAATTAAGTATTTATTAGACCTCCTAGTTTGGATGAACCTTCTGAAAAACCCAACTAAGAGCCTCTTATCCACTTGCTAGAATTCATCTGTTACCAATATAAGGCAAGTTCATTTGTTTTTGTCTTTATCATTTTTTAGCTATGTTCTAAAAGGCATTGTTCTTATCTCTTCTTTATGAGTAGATTACCAACAATCATGGCCATGTATTACAATGCAACACAAACCTTGTCCTCTATTAGAAAATATCTTGTTGTGCTTTGGTAGTGGGTGTGGAGCTTAGTTTTGATAATTTTGCTCCCATTGAACATTCTTTATGCTTAATTTCTTTGGCTTGGAGCTTCATTAGTTTGTTGGGACGTTCAATAGGAGCTGAGGTTTGCAAGCATGGTTTACTCATAAGTTAGACTAATTTAATAGGATGTTGTGTAGATTCATCCATGCTAGGATGGTTCTAGACTGTCCATTTTCCAACTT